AATAACCCTCGTCACTCGCTCCTTGTCATCACCATTGTCATCAGACACCATGAGGGCTTTTTTGTCCCTCTCCTCCTGGCTTCTGCTGGGAGTATTTCTTATCGGCCAAGTCCAAGGTGGCCCCAATTCGATATATGCTCATGCTGCCGAGCGTGTCCTTGCCTACATGTTGTATGAAGCCGAAGGACTCGCACTTGAGGGAAAGAACACTGGGCGAGTGCTCGCAAAAGAATGCACACCCGGTCAGAAGAGGCGTTGCGACTTTCACCAGGTATGTTCACATTAGAGGTGTCTGATCCGATGGCTAACCCTACTTCAGTTTTTGACATACATTGCTGGAAAAGGCGCCACTGGCAGCCCATCTCTGAAGAACAACCCTAGATATCAGGCGTTTGATTCGACCAACAGGGACAACATCGCAAACACCATCCAACTCCTCGCCACCGACCCAAGCATGACGAGGGTGGTTGATGTCGATTTCAGGCCGGGGTTGGTGTTGGAAGACGTCCGCAATGGCTACGTGCGCCTCATGGAAGATGGATACCGTGAGTACATCCCATGGTTGCGGAGCCACGTCAACGCGATGGACCCGGGTCCAGCGAGGACCAAGGCGGCCACTGCTCTCGACAACGTGGGGCCGCTCACGGGGAGGATTGTCTGGCTCCGCGATGCGCCGCTCAAGGGCGCTATAGCCGACGAAATGATGAGCACATTCGACAAGAATCAACAAAACACATTCTACAAGATGAAGGCTCTTAGGGACGACAAGGGAAACCTTCTCAAGGACGACAAGGGAAACGTCAAATACGAGATTTTCAACCCGCCCCTGAAGCCTATCGACTGGAAGGCTGAGACCAGGACCTTTGCTGGGAAGACGTGGAAGGTTATCGACTTGGAGAAAGCGGCAAAGGCGAATCCGGAGACGTGGGCCAAGATCGGAGACCATATTACCAACCATGCGTCTCTCGTCGAGCAGGGCAAGGCTGGCGCGAAGTGGATGCCAGACACAAAGCAGCAGATTCAAGTCCATGAGCCTGTCACGGTTGCCTTTAGGAAACTGCATCAACAGCTCGTGCCTACCGCTCAGTACCCCGCACACGAGCTGGTAGTCCGGAAGAAATGTAATTAGAGGCAAGAGGTGTCCTTGGGGTGAAGTTCTGTACAATTAACGGCTTTAGCTTAGCTGTTTTAGAAATGCTGTGTCATGTCGGGTTGGGTTTCTGGAGACAATCCACTGCCCGCCTTCCGTTTTGGACTCATAATCAACTGCTTTCATCCTCGAATCTCACATTCTCGCCGTGCAAGATACTCCTGATCCTCCGATCACCTTCCCCTCGAAAACAACTTTCTTGGCACCCACTTTTCAGGGGGTTCATTAGCATGTGCGTGAGCTACAGGAGGAAGTCAAGCGCGTCAGTCATCGTGTTAGTTGGGTAGAGTTGAAAAATACCACACGCAGCAAATGCTGGTCCTGGAGCTAAATACAGAAACGAGAGTTGAAACTCAAGATTCAATTAAAAATCCCCATGCTAAATCCACCACCTGACAATCTCCTTCCATAAGATGAGCCCCCTAGCTACCCACCCCCTCAGTTATGAAGCACCCCCCAGTCAAAATCCACAGAGTCCATAAACCTCGCCGTCGATTCATCATCAAACAACAGCGGACTAAGCGTCGGAGGAAGATACGCCCAAACGCTGCTCTGAAACCCAAAGTATTCCATCTCCGTGTCGAGCCCCTCCTTAAACTGCCCTTGGCGCACCACTTCTCTCATCTTCTCGAGTCGTTTGAAGGCGGACATCTTAAAGGCATTCCATTCATGATGAGCCTGCTCCAGGGCCTTCTCTGAAGGGGTAGCTTCCCGTTGCAGTGGTGACTCCTTTGAGAGTATGGTCCGAATGGTGACCCAGAGGATCACCCAGCTTGCGCCTAGGATGTCTTGAGCCAGGAAGTATGTGAAGGCGTAGATGAATGGGACGGTGGCGAGGGGGAGATATGCTGCGAAGATGTGGAAGGAGAATGCCCATATGAACATGACGATTGTGTTGTAACTGTTCGCCAGTAGGTGGTTAGCAATAGTCCCATATCAAATCATCATTAAGAACAGCCAACGTACAACGCAATCCTCACAAGATGCAAGAACTCCTTTCTCCTTTGTTGATAAAGTTCCAATTGCTTCCTCGCAATTGCCTTGTCGATTTCCGCAAAGAATCTGTTCATGTAGGACTGAACTGAGTCGAGATACTGGAGCAGGCAGGAGCGAGCCACTTCAAAGTCGGCAGCTAGTTTGGATTAGTCCTCAAATCGTACAAGTCAATCGGAGTGAAGAGCCCATCTTACCATGGCCCAAACAGAACGGAATGCCCCCATCGACATAATATTCTTGGCACATAATCTCGGCCTCATACCACATCGAGCATGAAGCTGCTTGGCCCAAGACCGCCTGGTAGCTCAGGGCCTCGCTTGTCGAGTCTGAATAGCGTCGCACCAACCGGCCGTCTTTCTGCTTTTCGAGTAGCCACCATGGGATGATGAGTGTTGATGAGCCATCAGAGTGACGCAGCAGAATCTTTTCGTCGTCGGGCATCGAGGCCATGGTTGTGTTCGCGATCGTTTGGGTGGGTTCTTTGTTGGTGGTAGTCTGGAGTAGGTACCTTAGGCAGACGAGATAATTTTCAACGAGTCGCCACGTTGTTCGATGTTTTGGGGAAGGTTTGCAAAGGCTGAAGGTGGCCGGGGAGAATTTATGGGCAGCTCAGTTTGTTTGCTGCAATCGGCGGGGCCAGCTCCGTCTATTGATATCTCGGTCGCTAATGCCTTGCTCAGCAGGAGCAGCTCAGATCGGATGGTGGAATGAAAGGCTGAGAAGGCTCCTGCCATGTTGTGTGATGGTTATCTTTGAAGAGCTCACGTGTCTGCCTTCAGATAACAACGACAATATTTTTTATCCTGCTGTAACGTTTGCTCCTCAGAGGTGTCAAGCAGTTTCACTGCGCTAGCGATTAGATCGAGATGAAGTGAGGATCTTGTCTCCTATTTAGGCTATGTATGTTTGTTTCTAGGTTGCAAATGGGAAGTTGCGAGGAGCAAATTACGTCGGAAACAGTCACAACAATGTGGTTAGAGAAGAGCTGATCTATTATGGGAGCTACGCTCTTTAAGCTGAGAAGACCCTGTTGCTACTTTCTATCTTCTCATGCCTCTGATACCAACCAAGGTTGCCATCAGGCATGCTTAAGCCAGTACTCGGAAGGCACGCCCTTTGTCATGAAGTTCAGCTTCTTTGACTCCCATGACTGCCAATCTTCCCGCTGGCCGCCCTCATGCTTCTCTCTGTCCTTGTTGACTTCTTCTGCGTGCGTATTCTCATACTCCTCCATGAATTGCTTCAGCCTCGATGGAATCAATCCCAAGAAGGTATCTTCTTGGTCCTCCTTCAGCTCCTTGAAACTGGAATCCTGCATCTCATTGATGAAATTGGCGCCAGCGTCGGGAACAGAGATCGACCTTTCGGCCCGGACTCTTCCCATCATGTCGTACAGCTCCCCGTATCGGTCTGCCAGGCGGGCCTTGAATCGTTTCCACTCCTGTTGCAATTCACGGGTGGTCTCCTCCTGAGGGTCCGGTTGTTGCTGACGAGGCGGCCTCGTCGCACGATAGAGAAGGATGCATAGCCAAACGGAGCTTATGGCAAAAGATAAGAAGGTGCTCGTTCTTACTTGTGTGGTTTTGGTCGTGTTTGGGAGTGTTTGCCGACCGGCTGGGATCTCAGAGTTAGATGAGCCGGATGAGCTAGGGTGGTCGCCGTTCAGTATAACGCGAAGCTCATAGCTGCTGACGATGAAGATCAAGAGCATTTGCCTGTTAAGAACACCTGTTAGTATTGCCAACCAAAGAGACAGTACAGGCCTGGTAAACAGCTTACAGTACGAACCAGAAGTCGCGAAACCACCACATCTCGTTCTTGACCACCTTCTTGGAGTTGGGCTCTTCTACCAGAATCATGTCCCATTTCTGGACAAAGTGATCCATGTACTGTCGGACAGTAAAGAGAGAGGAGAGGAAGGCGTTCTGCGCGACCTTGAAGTCAATCGAATCGAGACGGGCTAGAATCTTGTTAGTTATATGGACTCCGAGGTGTATCATGTACTTGAGGTAGTGAGACCCTCTTACCTTGCTTGTTGTCGCCGAAAATATTGTACGACATCTGATACCACTTGCCGCATATCATAGCGGTCGCGAAGACGTCGTCATCTTTGTGCAGCCCTTTCTTGATGGAGCCGCCCTCTTCAAGTTCATCTGTGGTGCAACCGAAGCCCTGCCACCCCACTGGTTCAAGAGATTCGACGAACAACAGGCTAACCACCGTGTTATCGGGATACTTCCTATTGATCTCATTGCCCATCGTGAGCCAGTCGGCCTTGGTGAATTCTTTCTTGGGCTGTAGACTGGTGAAATATTCGAGTGGTCGAAGTCCACAGGCGGACTTTGGTGGTTGTGTGGCTGCAGACATCGGTGATAGCGGACGAGACCAACGCAGCGTAGTATTTGGGTTGTTGAAGATGAAAGAGGAGAAATCAGGTACGTAGAGAAGAGAGATTCTGAACAGAATTATTTATACAGCGGAATGTACAATGGGCAGCATGGTGCCTATCTGGTTGATATCACGACTTTGTGGGCACTGCCTTCCTATCTCGTTGTGCAGATCAGGTGGATCTGCTTATCGAGGTTTTGATCAGACGAGAGCTCATTTCTCGATAAGGATAGCCATTTCAATTCGGTTGCAGGAAGTCGCGCTATCACAGGGTTGTCCTGCGTGCTCAATAGCTCCAGTCAGCGCAATCTCCGCTATCTCGGTGAGCAAGCGTCATCAGGTCTTGAACACCAATGCGAGCGGTGAACTTACTTAGATAAGGTAGGTGCACCTATTTTCAGTTGCTCTGTCTCAACTCCAAGAACATAAGGATCATTGCCAGGGGTGATGGTAACAATTAAATACAGGACGTATGGTCTAGTGGTACGACGTCTCAGTTGCAAATAAATGTTCGCTGCGCTTGAACCTGTTACAAGACAGGTGAAAGAGTTCGAAGGTTATAAATGCTCCTTGAGAAGGCCCCAGGTTCGAACCCTGGTACGTCCAGTCTATTTTCCTTTTTGATGGTTTTCCGACTCTGATTGACTCTAGAGGCCGATGTCATGCTCCGGGTTATGGATGCGAAGTCGTATTTGCTATGGCATAGTCACGCGCGCTACAACATAGCCAGACGCCTTATAAAGTCGAAACGAAACAGCTGGATTTCAAAATCATAGCGATAGGTATCCGTCTACGAGTGTCGTCTATGTACTTCTCGAGATCACAACCATGGTAGCCCACATAATAAGCAGAGTGTGAGAAGGTCAATCATGACGGAGACTCCGGGCCTCTCTATGCATTTCTAAATGCGCGAAACTCTATCTCGTCCCAAGGCATAATCTAGACGCATGATCTTGAACCTCGGATGACAACCGTAAATGAAACCCATTGTAACGCTGTGCAAAAAGTGAACGGCCACCCAGATCTAATCAAGCCTCCTCGCCATCAAGCTTCCCACGCCCAACGACCAACCCCTTCTCTTTCCCCTTGTGGCTCAGCGCCTCAACAACATTCCCCAACCACCAAGCATGCACCCTCACATCCCCCGTCAGCTCCGGATGAAAACTCGTCCCAAACACATTCCCCTGCCTCACCGCAACGATATCCTCCTCCTCCCCTGGTTTCTTCACCGTCCCCAGCACTTTCACCTTCCCATTCCCATTAATCACCTCCTCCACCACCGGCGCCCTGATAAAAACCCCTTTAAACGGCCTCTCCCCCTCCGCCAAGAAACCCAACTGCAAATCCGCCACAAACGACTGCGCCTGGGTCCCAAATTTATTCCGTAGCACCCTCACATCCAACCCCCCGATGAGTTCCTGTCCGCCTTGTTTGGTGGCAGACGCTTCTTCTGCTAGCATTACCAAACCAGCGCACGTCCCCCACACGGGCTTGTTGTTGATCTTGACGAATTCCCGCAGTGGTTCGAATAACCCGAGGCGGCGGGCGACAATGGCCATTGTTGTTGACTCGCCGCCTGGGATGATGAGGGCATCGCAGAGGGATAGCTGCTCGGGGGTTTTGACTTCGGGGAAGTGAAAGGTGATGGTGGGGAAGCTGGTGGAGGCGCGGTTGAGGAGGGCGATGTGCTCTATTACACCTCCTTGGAGGGCGAGGACGCCGACTGTGATTGAGGAGGGTGGTGGCATTGTGGCTTGTTTTGGTGATTGGTGTGAGGTGGTTGGTGAGGAGATGGGGGTTGAGTGTAAGTGAAGGAGGCAAGGGTCTCAAGTACTAGTACGCGGGTTGGTTGAATTATGAGTCAAAATGATACTGGAAATAAAAGTATGAGTGGTGGTTTTGTTATAGTGAGATCTGAGAGGCTGACAATGATGAGGCTTGCTTGTCAAGTGGCTAACAAAATATAAGACTTGTTGAGGGTATCTCCTGGCGGAATTTGGGTATCTCAAACGTCTTGACGAGTCAGGATGCTCTTTATTTTCAGATGGCCGCGGTTATCGCAAGTCATCCAAGGTCCCAGGAGGTTAATAAGCCAGATGCAGGTGAGTGGTGACGTGGTTAAGGTACTGACTGGGTGGCACGGGATATGCCGGATAGGGGCGGCTTATTAAACATTCTTGGTTCCTGGGATCCGACGAGAAAATCCCTCGCCACCCCAATTGGGAACGACATCGGACACTTTAACACACGGTGCAAGGGGCCAAGCCAAAGACTGTTCGAGATTTTTCACCATTGGATGATGCAAGAAGTAACTTCGCCTTGCCTCGACATGACTGGGGGTGACAGGACGAACAGGACGACAGGACCGTGGGGAGGAAATAGAGTTGATACGGTGTGGGAACCCCACGCCTGCCCAGGCCGAGAGCAAAAAAAAAAAAGTTGGAGGGGTAATATCTGCCCCTCAACCCCTCGTTGAATGTGACTCTTCTCTTTGTTTTGGGAAAAGGGCGCGTGTTCCTTTAGGGCGTGGGATGCCCAGATTGGAATTGGATGTCCTGTGAGAAATATCCTCAACAATTGACCTCGGCCGTATGCTGCAGTCATAAAGTGTTATCACGAAGCCAAGCATGATGGTAGCAGAGATCAAGCGAGATATCCCCGTGAGCACAATTGCCGGTCACCTTCTCTTTGGACGTTAGGACGTTATGTAATCCCGAGCTACGTGACTGGTGTGCCGACGCTACGGGTCCTCTCCGATCCGGAGGCAAGGGTCCTCAACGGTTCAAACCGCGAACCGTCCCAGACCCGGAGTGCTCTCAACGCTACAGTAGATCTCACACTGTGCATCTGATGCGCCCTCCGCGCTCCCATGCATGCATACACCTGACGATCGAGGGGTCAACCACCACGGCTCTCCCCTCACTGACTCACGAATCATCGTCTTTAAAAAGTCAATTGCTTTCCCCTTGCAGGCTATTATTCCAGACATTGACAACATCAACTTACTCAACTGTTTACCATCTCCACTGGTTTGACCTGGACTACCACTCATCAAAGAATTTCTTACATAACCACACTATCAAACCTTAAAAGCAGCACTTCTCGCCACTAAAAACACCTCAAACGCTTTTTTCTAAACACCCTTCAACAAACCATCACCAAAACCCTCACATTCACAATGGCCACCAACCTCGCCAACGGCATTTCCTCCATCAGCGATGACTTCACCGTCAAAGCCGGCCTCGCCCAGATGCTCAAGGGCGGCGTCATCATGGACGTCACCAACGTCGAGCAGGCCCGCATCGCCGAGGAGGCCGGCGCCGTCGCCGTCATGGCCCTCGAGCGCATCCCCTCCGACATCCGCAAGGTCGGCGGCGTCGCCCGCATGTCCAACCCGGAGATGATCAAGGAGATCCAGGCCGCAGTCACCATCCCCGTCATGGCCAAGGCCCGCATCGGCCACATTGTCGAGTGCCAGATCCTCGAGGCGCTCGGCGTTGACTACGTCGACGAGAGCGAGGTGCTCACCCCTGCTGATGACCAGTATCACGTTCAAAAGACCGACTTCAAGGTTCCCTTTGTTTGCGGGTGCAGGAACTTGGGTGAGGCGCTCAGGAGAATCAAGGAGGGCGCGGCGTTTATCCGCACCAAGGGCGAGGCTGGCACTGGTGATGTTGTTGAGGCTGTCAAGCACATCCGGACGGTGAATGCTGAGATTGCCCAGGCGAAGGCGGCTCTTGCTTCTGAGGGCGAGTTGGGCATTGCCAAGTTGGCGAGGGAGATTGGGGCCGATCCTGTCTTGTTGAAGCACACTGCTGAGTTGGGGAGGTTGCCTGTGGTCAACTTTGCTGCCGGTGGTGTGGCTACTCCAGCTGATGCTGCGCTCATGATGCAGCTGGGCTGCGATGGCGTGTTTGTCGGCAGTGGCATCTTCAAGGACGCCTTGGACCCTGAGCATGCTACCAAGCGTGCCAGGGCTATCGTCAAGGCTGTCGCCAACTGGACGGATAAGAGGGCGCTTATCGAGGCCAGCATTGAGCACGGCACTGCTATGAAGGGCATTAGCAACGCTGGCCTCAAGGAGGAGGAGAAGCTGGCTGGCAGAGGCTGGTAAAGCGGGGTGGATTGCTCAATAGCACCAGATATCCTGGGTTTCTTTTTGGTATTTTCTTTGGGATGGAAAAAGCGAGAAGAGCATCTTGAGTCGAGTCTCAACACTTATCGGCGCGTGTCGTGAAATGGGTGGCATTCTGGTTTTTGGCATGATATAACGAGGGTTCAAGGTTTCTCCTAGCTAGCATCAATGGAGCATGAATCAACTCTACCTTATGACTTTTGATGTGACTGTGCTTCATATTGACAGGAACTTGTTTAATGGGGAGTTGTATCAGCCTATTGGACTCAAAATCCTTGCTACTATCGTCATAACCGTGACAGATTGCCGGGTTAAAAAGGTAGACGGCAGCGTGCTCTGTGTATTTGGCCATTTGATTGTCCCGGGTTCCTTTTGTTGTAATTTTATCGTGTATTTAATATTCCTATGACTACTCCTATCGCAGAAAGCACTAGATGACAGCTACGGCTTTTAATGACTAATCCCCTTTCTCTTCATGCTTGATTGCCCAAAATTCTGCAAGCTACTAAGATGACCCATGTTCGAGAAGACAGAAGACCTCAAATCATCCTCAGATAATTCCAGGACTTCAAAGACAGGCCGCTCGAGAGACAAAGCAGATGACCTATAAGACGTCAGCTCCAGACACGGTTCCAGCACCAGTTCAAGCACCAGTTCCCTGAACTACCTGATCTCCAGCTAGGTAGATGACGAAGGCAGGAAAGAAACCTCAAATACCTAATTCTAAAGCCGCCCACAACAATATTGTCACATTATTCGGTCCTAAAAATGCCTCAACACCCCGACTTCTATCCTTTTCACTTCGAAGACAAGCAAAGTGCCCACCGTACAGTAGAGAGATAAGTGATGCGATACCTCAGCCCGTTCTGGATAAAGTGATTGGTATTGCAAATGTTGAGCAGAGCTCAAGACACAGTTAACAGACCGCGCGGGATAATCAATAGACCTCCAAAGATAACCCATAGGCCTTTTAAGATAGCTAATAGGCCTTGAAGATGTTTGAAGATACATGCAAAGGTGATGGGTACGCCTATATCTAGTAGTCTTGTGTAGTAGATGTGTAAGTAGTGGTGTCAATTCTTTGTCCAGGACATGCTTCGGTAAGGTAGGTAGGTAGGTACCTAAGGTACATACCTAGGTACCCATCTATACATTTCTGCATTCAGTCCGACCGTGAAAGGCATTAAGCAAAGCCTCTTCGCTAATGATGTATCGCAAACCTAGCCGATGTAGAAGAACAGACATTGGATACGCGTGCTTCGGGGGCATTTACCCATTGAATGCTCTCAACTCTCTTCTCCCAGAATCCGCAACATCTCATCACGCCGGGACGGCATTCCTTGCACTACCTGTTCCATTTTTGAAGAACCCGACACCCATGATTACCACCACCATTATTGATAACCCGGGGACGGTGATAGATAGTCACCGTCGTCTTCCATACCTGCATCAGCCGCAGCAACTCGTTTTTTGTTAGGAGATTGACTGCTGACAACGGTTTGTCTGGGGGTAGTAATATCTATCTGCCCTGTTCTGCCACAGACTAATAGAAGATCTGAGAGCTGCTTAAGCACATAAACGAGCTTCTAAGGTGGGTAGCAAAGCTCCTACCTCTCTCAACATAGTGCATATGCAGTGGAACGCTAAATCCCTAACAAGTGGGTTGTTTCCAATAAAAAAGGTGTCTATACCCTTTCGGTGCCGCCGTTAACTAGCATTGTACATCAGAGTCAGGTAGGTATGTACCCATCCTTGGAGAGAGATGCACTATTTTTTAGCTGGTACTGTGTTCCGTGTCTACCTAATCTAATAAGGTACCAGTCCCCCATTTTGAGACCTACACCGGCTGCCATTCTCATAGCATCGTGGTGAATATATCAATGCCTTCGCCGAGTCCTATTAGCAGAGCAAGTCACAGGCGCTAGTCCCTGGGGTTGTTTCTTGAAATGGCGGTAACATGTATTTGTTTGTCGAGGAAGCATGGGATAAAAATATGCTTCACTGGTTTGTGTGTTTTGTTGGAACATGAAGTCATTCACCTTTACAATAAACGTGATGAAATTTGGGTTGAGACTAGTATTCAAGAAGAGGGGAAGGATGAGTAACAAGGAGAACAATAGTTGTATACCTTAGGTATGTCTCAAAAAGTGGAAAGAAAAAGTGGAAATAAAGGGGAAAGGAAAAGACGGCACACACAGTTTCAAAACGGCAGTAAAGGCTACCCTCCACCCTTTGCTGCAGATTCCTTCCACAGAGCCCGCGGATTGGCATCGAATTGCGGCTCCAAGGTCTTGTATAGGTATGTCTCACAAATCATGCCGAATAAGGGGACGTTAAAACCGCTTGAGGGACTTCTGGTGTTGGGCTTGAGTTTTGTTGGGGGCGCATAATGCGCCCCAGCCGTAGTTGAGAGGGTGGAGAAAAGGGACTACCCCTACCCTTGTTGGAGCTGGTGCCGTTTGTGTGGGTTGTGATTGCAGTTCCGGTGCTCGAGCGAGTGAATAGGCGCGTGCTGTTACCTAATAGAGCGGTGAAGTAACAAATCATCTCTTTGTACATACATACATACATAAGCATGTTTCTCTAGATAATAATACATCATCAACCACGAAAACCTGTCCTTTCAAGGCTCCCATGAAGAAACATGAACCCTTACTAAAGGCCTAATCCATCGCGCTTCCCAACCGATCCACATGCCATTCATGCCCATCAATGATAGTGGTATTACATCACAACACACAAATCCCTCCAAGACCAAACCCCCAAGACCCTCATGATGATCCTACAGCCCCAATCGAAAACATACAGCCAGAAACATCCATCCCATTATTACGAGTATTTATCCCATTGACCTCGCGATGACCTCAGGCCCCAACGAAGCCTGCGTACTCACAGACGCTGCATCCCCCTTCGCATACGGCCTGCTCACCGGCCTCAGATGATCCGACAAGTCCTCAATTACACTCCCTCTCGTACCATGATTGATGGATGCCAGCTCCCTTTTCACGTTCTCTTGCGCCTCAGCCGCGGTCGATTTCCTGGGTTTGTGGTGCTGATGTGTCTGCGCTTCGACATCGATGTCCCTCAATGCCACATCCTCTATTACATCATCGTTCTTGTTGTTGTTGTTATTGTTATTGTCGTTTCTCCCTTGGCCGCTATTCTCCGCAACAACCTCCAGCCAGTCCCCGGCCCCCGGTCGTATCGGCATCGGTTGATTCCTCAGTGGCTTCGACCCAATCGTCAGCTGTGCTCCTCCATTGCTGCCCGCTCCATCGCTTGGCTCCGCTGGATTTTCTCCTGATCGGGGCTCGAGTAAGTTGGGGAAGAAGTGCGTGACGAGAGGCTTGAGGGTCATGGCGCAGGCGACGACGATGGACGTCTGGATTTCGAGCACTGTCCAATGATTCACGATGGAGTTGTTGTAGGTCGTGTCCAAGTCTGTGCTTCTCTTCAGTTGGATGACAACGATGAGGCGGGTGACGGAGACGACGCAGACGCTGAGAATATTGTGTTAGTCGCGGTGCTGAGAGATTTCTGGCAGGATGAAAACTTACAAGAAGCCAACTGCGAAGACGGCAACCACAGCGATCTTTTGTCGGCGAGGGAGCTTCAACGGGATGATGCTTGGAATTGGAAGGAGAAATATTAAGAGGTCTGTCACAAGGCCCAAACTAGAACACAAGGCGTTATTAGTCTCAAATAAGCAACAACGGGAATGTAAAGAGGGAGGTCCTACGCCGTGTTAACCCACCAAACAGCCTCTGGGTGGCAATAGCTTGCTTTGACTTCGGGGTTCCAAACTGATTGAAGGGGAATACAAAAGGTGAGTGTGATGGCGAGCGCGCATAAGCCATGGATAATAGTGAAAATGAGCATAGCCCACGAACACTTTTTCGCCCACTCATACGTGAAAATGTTCACGAAAATCGTGCAGATAGACATCTTGCTGAATGCAAGCGAGAAGGAATAGAAGAGTAACGAAAAGTACCATAGCTAAGGACCAAAATGAGCTTTTCAATCGTTACAATGGGGAGGAGGTGACATACCTTGCCCATGATCAGAAAGTTGGGAGGCGGAATATCCCAAATGTGTTTTCCCACTCCATAATGGACCTCAAGTGTCATTGAAGTGCACATAGCTCCCGATGTGATCTAGTGGAGTGTCAGAGGGCATCGATTATCAAAGGACAACGGCATCATCTCTGAGACTTACAAGGGAGAAGAGGATGAGCCAATCTGTAGCCCCAAGCACACGTACAATGTGGATGCGTGTCCAGAATCTCATCCCGACAAAGATGACGGCGAACGAAAAGGTAATCCAGATCACAGCCAGGATCGAGGGTCCTCGAGAGTCATGAGGCAGATCCTCCCATGCAGGCCCATCAAGGGCGCTGAATGGGAATTCATCTTCGCCCATCGGGTCGTTGGAAAGGTCGTTGCGTAAGTCGAAGTGCTGACATGCCTATAAGCACAAACACGGCGATAACAGCGTTTGTTCAACAAGAGCTGTTGGTCATGATCACTGAAGTATCATGGACTCGGCAAGAGGATGGAAGGCGAGGCCGGGCCTAAGAACTTGGCCCTCCAAGAGAGCGTGGATGGATCCTGTCGTCTTTAAGAATGCTCCTCGCAACTTGGAATCAGGGATATGGACTCAGCAGCTTGGCCTAACAGATCCCCGCGACCCCGTCGCCCCATATCGTTGGTGCAGACTATGGACTTCAGGGGCTTAGTGCGGTTCAGGGGTACATAACAGCCGGGAACTTTCTTTGGTCCGATCGGTGGCAGACCTTCATGCTGTCTCTCGGGGATCTGGGGAAGTGGGACAAGTCAAGGCCTTCATCAGTCAAGCGGCTCATAGCGCAATGCATGTTGGGATGAAGCTGGTAGGGCAGCTTTTTCGTTTTGTGCGCTGCCTGACAACTGGGAAAAGATCGCAGTGTGTCAGTTTGTTAGCGCGGAACTTCTCCCACTTTTTCTGGCCAATTGATCAAGCAGGATTAAGGTGTAAGACGAGTACTCTGGAGCACCCAGGTAAAGAAATGGAGCAGGTTTTCCACTCTTCCACCTTTAAATCCACACTTTACTTTACAAAATCCACACCTCCCAGAATAGAATTCAGACTTCGAAATAATCCTCCTTGATGGATTGGCTAGAAAGTGGGCAAGTCACGAGCTAACAAACTTTCAGGGTATGAAGTGTTGTACATCACCCGTTAGCGTCATATTCTGGGTTGACGACAGAACTTGGCACTGCCACAGTGCTGATAGGTTTCTATCCTAGCGGTGAGCTCATTACTGGTGTCATTGCTAGTGACTAGCAACCAACAAAATGAGGCGAGACCAGCAACATTCTAGATTCTGAAAAGCGGTGGACAAGAGATCAGAGGATCGGCAGCTCTGCATTCTGAAACCCGGCTTTCGCATGTGGTTGCAAAAATATGGTGGCATTCTTGGCTGCGTCAATCCAGTTCATGCGATTTGGTGATATTGATGCTCGGCTTGGAGCGGCAACAGCATCGAGCAGAGGTGGGATGGTCGGAGGTGATGTGGGCTAAAGAGTAATAAACGAGCGTCATCATCTCGTGTATCCATATCCGTTGCCAATTCTTGCGCAAGATATCTTTTTTTACCCAAGTTTTTATCGGGCTGAAATCGATACCTATCAAACAATTCTGCGCAGAGCGGGGGACGAATTACGGAGCCACAACCCAACCAGGTTAAAGCGCCGAGCAACAAGCTTTTGGGCTCTTGGGAAAGCGACGATCACACCTGGTTTGTTTTTGGGACAGTCACAGAGTCGATCCATCTGAGGGGCAGAAGAGGCGGCAAACTGAAGCTATTCACATAATCATCAAACAAGGTCCGATGGTGTAGTTGGTTATCATAGACGTCAGTCGAACACACTGAAGGTCTCCAGTTCAAGCCTGGATCGGATCAAATTTGAAACAAATCGCACATGTGATCTTATCTTTTTTTCACCACTGTAACCCTAACCTGGTGATCCTTGGCGATCCTTGGCGATCCACTTCAATGCCAAGACGTGTTGCCTGCCGGGACGGGTTGGCCCAAGTTGTGCCCCACCAAAATTTCCAACGGCGCGGGGCAGCTGTTTGACGCATTGAGCCTTCAGATCAGATGTATCAAGTTCCCTCTCCTGCAACCTCTCACCATCAACATCAGCTCTTTAAACCAAGACACCATACTTTTTGCCGCCAGATTTTCCCAGAAGTATCGCCTGAACTCTCTGAGATCAACAGACATTTCACCCACCATGTCCGCCACACCCTTCGACGAAGACGACGACCCTGTCATCGCCGAGTACAATGTCTTCGTCAAGCCCCCTCTGCCTGCGAACCGCAAGCTCGTAGTCCTCCAGTTCTTTAACAAGACTGCCACCGACCCTTCCACACTCCGCATCCCACAAGTCATCGGCATGCGCCACAAGCCCGAGTCCGGGTTCTACGAAGTGGACTGTCCCATGGACATCAACACCGCCTACGATCGCAACAAGGGCGTAGAGATGGGCACCGCCCTCGCCAAATCCCTGGAGGCGAAGAAGGGAGGTACCCACGGCCTAGCTGGTGGTTTCAGCTCTACTGGCCCAGCCGCAACCGCAGCGAACAGGAGCCGGAGGGCAGCCGCTGCAGACGAAGAGCAACCTCAAATGTCCTTTGAAGAAGCTCAGAAGAAGAACATGGTGTTGAAGACGCAAACACTCAGTGGACATCGCATTGCCAACGAAAACGTCCCCCACAGTTATGTAGGCGTCTTTAAGGGCAGTAAGTTCACCTCCTCTCCTCTCCCCATCTTCTCACCACCCCGGCGACGCACCAAACTGACACCTCTCTCCCCTCCCAGATAACATCCACCTAACTCCCTTCACCGACACCGTCAACCTCCGCCCCTTCCAACCCCACCTCGACGCCGCCACCGAGCAAGAACGCCTCAACCGCCCCAACCCAAACGCACCCCAAGACCAAGCACCCGGTGCCCGCGCCCCCGGCCGCGCGATCCAGATGTCTCTCAAGTCCGCTATGGACGGCGTAGCAACCGATACAATGGCCGATCGAACCCACAAGGTCCAGTTGGAGAAGTGGCAGCACTTGGATTACATGCCTGACGACACGAATGGTGCCTGGCAGGCCTACAGGGAGAATCTACTGTTGGTCCCAACGCAAGATCTCGAAAAGCCAAAAGAGGAAAGCAAAGAGGATGCCAAAGGGAAAACAAAAGAGGTGGCGGATGAGAGGGATAAGATTTGCGCCATGCCGGATTTGGTGGACAAGGTTGCGCATTTGAGGACTGATTGGGATGAGGAGAAGTATATCAAGATTATTACTGAGAAGTGGTAGTTATGTGGGATGGTAGATAGGTGGGAGTATGGATAAATTTTTGTAATTGGGTTAAAATGGAGTTTAAAAGGCGTTTTTGGTTGTGGTTAGAGATGTGAAGATATAGAGGGAAGGTTTTACTTGGAGAAAGTATAGTTGATACCCCCCTTACTACGAGGAAGTAGAGCCCAGTGGTTGTTATTGGGAGTTTAATGCTGAGCAATAAACTGGGCTTACAAATATTCTCATGGAGATGTTCGATCACACCCTCAGACGATGGCAACATCTATATTTTTTAAACAAATAGCAAGGGGGGATCTTTGGGTCTCTACGCCATATCTGCTATCTGCTTCAGTATATCAATAAGATGAAATATCAGCTTTCACCCAGGTTGCATAGAATCGGGAAACCGTCACTGGGACGCCGTATGTAGATATACTGGTGATATACTGTGAGCCAGCTTGTCAGTAGCAGGTTGAGATATGGCGAGTGGTGCAACTAGTGATAGCTGAATGGACTGCCTCGAAAATACTAACCACTGTTTATTAACCACTGTTGCCTTAATCATCGGTTAGACCGCAATTTTTGTTTCTGGGCTGGAGTCCATGGAATTGACATAAAAACAACAGCCTTGGAGGGATTGGGTGGTCTTCCGGATATCACAGTTCAAGAGGTCATGTCGGTTTAAGGAATTGATGTCTACCTTCACCCTCGTATGATAGGCGCGATGCTGCCGTCTTAATGTTTTCATACAAAGCCCCATTCATATCATCTCAAAAAGGTGCTGCGCGAAAATAAACCAATAATTCTCCTATGGCTATGCTCCTAGTTTTTGATAATCACACACCACTTCCACACTAGCCTTTCCTGACTCTCCCTATAAAAATGCCCGCCATTTTCCACCATCCTTCTTGCTGGGTATCATTGCCAGTTACAGCAGCTTTCCGTATAATACTGTTTTGCTGAATGATGCCCTGCCAGTATAGAACCTGCCATGCTTTGTGCGCTCCGCTTCATGATGCATCGAAATATTTGTATGATCACGACGAAAAAAATCCCGGATAAACATTCCCTCCCACTTCTCCTCGATCTTAGATTCTTCTGCCCCAGGGAGTGCACGCATCCCGCCAAACTTAGTATAGTACGCAACAGCGACTCAACCAAAAATCCCAAATGTCAGTTACGAGCACCACGATAACATCGTGTCATTAATTACTGCAGCAGCTCCACATCCAAGCCAATACTGCGCATGAAAAGGTTGACGTTCTGGAGGCGTTGGGCACCCAAGTCTGCAGGTAGCGTCTTTGAAAGAGCGACCGTGTCCATGACGCGGTCCTTGACAGCAAGGACAAGCCTCTGCTGCTGTTCCGGGCTCGCCCCTATGCCGAGGGCCGCAAGCAGTTGCCATACATAAATGTCATCACTGGTGTTGACGGTACCAGGGAACATATAAGGAAGCGTAGGTTCAAGGCGGTCAAAAAAGTCCGTGTGGCACAAATCCCTGATAAATGTTAGCTATTGTCGCTCTCGTTTATCTCATACATATCAACCTACCAAGCCCGCCAGGATGGATGGGTGCTCCCAACATTAACCTTGATAATTTCAGCGCGACTCAGGATCATGGTGATCATCGAAGCTCCAATGCGGCTCTTGGCAATAATATCCAGCCTCTGCTTAGAGAGAATGGAGAGCAGACCCGCCACGATGTCCAGATCGAGCTCGTTGAGGAAGTTAAACAACGTGTTCATGACGGCATTGGAGAAAACATGAATGTTCTCACGCATCGCAGCCGTCAGCTGGACAGCGGCAGACGTCACCTGGGCGTTGACAACAACATCCAGCTTATCAAGATTGACGATCACCAAGGTGAGGATGGTGGTGCGTTGCTCCTGGGTGAGGTGACGGAAGATCCTGTTCATCGCCTTCATGCCCTTGTTGTACGAGAGGAGCGCAACAAAGGGATGAGGGTGGCCCTCGCGGGTTTCATCGTAAACCCGCAGCGCAGACCACAGCTCCTGGTTAAGTGCCTGGGCTTCGTTGCTCCAACGCATTCCCCGCTGATGTCCTTCAACATCGGCATCGCTAGTGGGAGCAGGGGGGAGCACGCGGTCGTGATCTTCCATCTTCATGAGAATGGTGTAGATGCGCTCAATGGTACGCAGGTCACTCTTGCGATCGCCACCGGTGACGGCCTTGTGGGCGCTGGTGGGACGGTTGGCATCATCGGTGCTCTCGATGCGCTTGATATTGAGCAGAGGTTTGGGTGTCTTGGCGTTGCTGAACGAGATCTTACCGAGACTGCCTTCAATCACGAGCTGCTTGTTCTTGGGCTTATTTTTGGCAGCTTCAACGGCTCGCTGAACTTGTTGCTCCATGCGTTGCATATGATTTTCGGGGCCGCGGTGTCGACGCATGTGGCCCGACCTATTGCCGGTCTGGAAGAGATAGGTCTGCGCAAAGTTATTCAGTGGCTGGTTAGGGTGTTGCCGCTGACCACCCTGGAGCGAGCTATGAACCTGGTAGTAGAAATCTTCGGCAAGCGATTCGTCGGTCCCGTGCTCATTCGGGTTGCCAGTGGCGGCGACAAGCTGCTGAAGCTGAATGCGTGTCACAAAGCTTTTGTCCTGGGGTGTCATGACACCGTTATCACGAGACATGAGGAAGATCTTGTGGTTCCGCTTAGCGCGATTGGCCTCCTGTTCCATATACGCGGCCTTTTGCTCTTCGGTAAGCTGAGACACCTGCGATGGATGCGTGATGATATTGGGCTGTCTCCCAAAAGAACCCTGGTGCTTATGACTAGGCTGGGTTGGCGGAGCGGTAGGACCTGGAACGGGAGGCGTGGAATGCTGATACATGCTCATTCTAGCGGCATCGCCAGAGAGACGATTCGGATTCTGCAATATTTGTGTTGGCTGCGCAGAGGTCGCTGACGACTGCCGCTGATGAACGGTAGGTTGGGCAGGGGGCTGGGGCGAAGGGGCCTGGTTCGACTGCGGTCTCTGCAGTATGTGAACCGGAAGGGTTTGTCTCGCATGGTCTACTGGAGGGTTGAACTGTTGCTGAGCCGGTTGTGCAAATTGAATGGCCGGGTCATATGGTATCTGGGAAGGGCCTTGAGGATGAGGCACCGGAGAAGGTGTAGCAGCTTGGGCAGCCTTGGCCTGAGCCCTCATTTGAGCCTCAACTTCCTCCAAGCTCAAAATTTTGCGACCGGGCAAGGAACTGGACGGGGCGGCTGGCTGGGGCGCAGGAGGAGCAGGCTGCGCTGGCTTCTTCGGTGCCACTCCCCAGAGGGAGGCATCGACCTGCAACTCGGGAACCGGCTCATTGCTGTACTTGTCACCCCCGTACTTCTCGTAGCCGGTGCGATAGTGACCCTGAGATGTATAGCCATACGACGATGCGCTTGTAAGGGATGGTTGACCGAAAGACCTCTGCTGGGCAGGCTGGGCTGTAGGTTGGCTGGACCGAGCCGGCGGCTGCTGACGGCTGAAGAGATAATGTTCCTCCTCAATGGCATTCTGGACCTTGGCAGTTTGTGAGAAGAAATCAAAGTCCTTCCCAACGGGCGCAGCGGCTATATCACTGGTATCCCCGAATGTA